TATATTGGGGTTATATAGGGATTTAAAAAACAATTAATTAGGGATCCAAGGTCGCGGCTCCACAGCGGCCAGCATGGCGGCGTTCTGAGTCCCAGCAGGATTGATTTGATGGCTTCCGGCTAGTCTACAAAGCGTGGAGTGTAGAGAACATGGGCTGCTCGTTTTAAGAGCCCTACTTGCGCAAAAAAATCCTGAATTGCTACAGCAGCATGTCACAGCCACTTCCTGCCTCACCGTCGGCGGATTTGGCGCTGACGTTGGCTTGGCTTGTAAGCAGCAGCTCTGCTGCCTGTAAGAAGAGCATGTCTCAAAGCTCCGCCATGCAGAGCTGCGTGCTACATGTCATTTTTACAAAGATTGGGTGTCTGCTCGGACATGTATGAGGCGGCTTATTCATTCAGTAGCCAGAACCCTATGTCTACCTTGAGCGTTTCCTGGGCAACCGTCACCAGGCCTCTTTCATGTCATTCCGGCAGGCATGGAGCAGAGCCGTCCATCCGAGGTGGTCCACTGCTTCCACATTCACCCTGCACCTTGAGCCAGTGCAAGACACACTGGGAAGGAGTGACTTGAAGGAGTTCTCCGTCACTCTAAGAGGAACTTTCGGATAGAGGACTTTGCAAGTATTGCCAATCGTAGCAGTCTTAGCCCTTAGGAATTGAAGAGATGCAAAATCTGCAATTCCAGCACTGCATGGTTCTTCTGCGTGGGGCTACATCCCTGAGTTTCGAAGATTTCTGCGCATTGCACCTGAGCAGGATTGAACATTCAACTTCAATGGGGAACAGGTTACGCCAAACAACCTGGCACCCAACATGTCGTATCCTGGTCAGCGCGCCGGCCCTAGTCGTGTCCTCTTCTCCCAAGGGCTGGCACCGTGCCGTAAACCTCTGAGCTAAATACTGAAACTCAAACAACCCAGCCCCCACCCTTTAGCTCCTTCAGTTTAAAGCTCTTACCCCTCAACCATCCTGAGGCTCTCAACCTTGAGCCCTAAACCCTCAA